CCATGGCAGCGATGAGGCTGAAAATTGACAGCAAATGAAGCTGCAATTTGACAGCAAATATGGCAGCAATTTAGCTGCAAATATGATGGAAATGAAGCTTTCAAATGACAGTAAAAATGTGCACCAAGCCAAGCTGAAAAATGTTGATGAAATGAAGCTGTAATGAACAGTAAATGCAAATGCAAAAGGAATACAAATGCAAATGAAATGAAAAGCTATAAAGTGGCTGCAGTGTCACAGCAACATGGAGCTGCAGAAACTGGCAGCAAATCTTTTGAATGTAATCTTGCTTTAAATGTTTGATAGATTTTCTTGTATTAGATAAAATATTAGGTGAGAAAAAACTGTTTTATGTTGTGTTGTTTCTGCTATAAATAGCAGAATATCAATCAAATTTCTAAGTTGGAGTGTTATACTCCTCTCCATTTTAGTTAGGTTATGCTCTTCATCTTCTTTCTGATTTTCTCTCCATTTCTTTGTTTGAAAAAAATCAACAACTCGAACACTTCAGTGATATCTTCCCTTTTAGATATGGATATGGATCAAGGATACGATGAATGCTTCCTACAGTACCGTTGATGTATTTATAATAGTCCCCTCGGAATGGACCATCCACAAAGTTCTCTTGCCACAAGCGAGATGGAGGTTTTCCAGAGATCACCTCAAACAATATTATACCAAATAAGTATAAATAGCTTTTTCAGTTAGTTCACCGTGTCTGGCATACTCTGGAGCTAAAATTCCCTGAGTTCCTACCACTTTGCTCTGCAATCGTATCAACGACTTTGATAAGCTAAGTGGACCCATCTTAGACAACCCGAAATCAGAAAGCCTTGCAGTCCATGTTTCATCCAAAAGGATATGGGAGCTCCTGATGTCACGGTGGATTACTGCATACTTTGCTCCTGTATGAAGGTAGTGTAATCCCTGCGCCGCCCCTTTGCATATCAACAGCCTCTGCTTCCATGGGAGTGGATCAAATTCCCGACCTTGGAGATAATCACGCAATGTCCCGTGCTTCATGTATTCATGCACTAGGATTCTTCCATTTCCCTCATAGCAAAACCCAATCAGAGAAACAAGATGTTGGTGGTGCAGTTGGCTTAGCAACTGCACCTCAGTTAGGAATTGAC